GAGCTGCCGGAGCCAGGTGCCCACCTCCTGACTCCCCGCTCTGTTCTGACGGGAGCTCCGGTGGGTGTGGGGTCACCAGAATCAGCTCCCCAAAGAGGGCCCTCAGGATGAACATGCCCATGGGCCTGCTCTACTGCCTTCCGATTCTCTGAAGAAAGTGGTCATCTGTGACCCTTACAAAAGTAATTTTCTCTTGAGGCTTCTGTTTCTGACATTCCACTATTAAAGGGAGAAATATGGATAGAGTAACCAGGAAAAAGGCATGAGTCCAGCCAAAAAAACGAAGATATGAAAAGTGTCGGTTATTCAGGGATCCCTCAAGGATGACAAATTTGGAAGATTGCAAATTGCCTTGGATCAGTTGTTTCTAAGTAGCTGTCAGTGAAATGTGAGGTGCAAATTCAGAGGCAGACTGAGGCAGATGTGCTCTGGTGGAACCACACAGGAGCCTGGCGTTCGCTCCCCCGGCCTCGGCTCTCCCTCCTCGGTGCACGGTCCTGAAGATCTGTGGAGCCTGAGGTCCCCAGGAGCACGCTCTGCAACCAACACTTAGGTGACACGCTGCAATTTCTTGAACCTTCAGGGATCCTTTAGATACTAGCCACGGCCAGTTACATGGTGGAGTCCTCCCATTTCACCTTTGGTACCCCGCTGCATAAGCTCCGTAAGTGGGGGCTTCACGAATTTTCTGTAGGGGCTGACACCCATCCCGTCACCACAGAATCCCTTACGTCATCTGCCACACCTGCGGTGCTGGTGACAGGTGCGCCTGGCCGCCTAGACACATCCGGTCCCGTGCAAGATGTGCCTTCACTACCTTTCCCGTGCCTGGACGTGTGCCTCACACCAGCTCCGACGCTTACCACCTGTGAAGGGCTCCCACACCATCCATTCCTCACCAGCACCAGCCCCTACACCATCCCGTTTCCACCCGCCAGAAGGCAGGTTACCTTGGCGACCCACAACAAGCTCACCAAAGGGGGAGAAAGAGCTTCATAGATCCACCGTGGTCTTCAGAACAATGACCCAGAAATGGTTCAGTTTTAACAATCAATACGCGATCTTTTGAAATAAGGTGCTAGACTGCATGGTGTCCCCTAGGAAACCCATAGTGGCCCCCAAGATTCACCCCAGTTTGTACGTTACCGCTGCCTGAAAGTAAGGAATTTGAATGGCAGATCCCAGTTCCAATCTCTTCCAGCAGCTGGAGATCTGACCTCTCTGATGCTGGAAACTTGGACTTGCACAACACACCCAGAGACATCCAGAAATCTGTTCGCCAGCAGAAAGGATGAGGCTTCTCACCTCAGTAGTGCATCGAAACCTTTAACCGTAGGACCAGTTGTCCATACAATTGTTTAAATATGGGAAACAGCCAACGTTAGAACAGACGGAAGTCCAGCTGAGGTTATTTCCACAATGTAACAAGACCTAAGAGCTCACTCCCCGCCTGCCCGGATGACCCTTCCCGGTGCAGCTGCATCCAGGACAGAACCCGAGCTCTCAGATGCACGTGAACACGGGCTGGAGGAGGGGTGCACTGAGCACGCACTCAGGAGCAAGTGGCGAGTAGCGTCCAGCATGGCAGGGAAGCAAAGGCCCAGGGCCTGCTGATGTTTCTAAAGGTCTTGCCCAAATCAAGTAGATGTGCCCAGCTCTGGATCCCAGAAGGGCAGCCAAAGTTACAAAGGTGAGAGTGAGTGAATCTGCCGTGCTAAGAAAAGTAAGCAAACAAAACATCCTGAGTGATGCATTTCAATATAGAGCACACTGTCCTTAGACACAGCCCACGTCAAAGAGGTTATCAGCGTGTTAAATTGTTCATCAGGCTCAAGTTTTCCACTTCTAAAAGAGAAAAATCAAGATACTTTATAAATTAAAATCAGATATAATCGCATTCTGTAATTTTTTCTTTCCAAGACAATAGGTAACCATCAGCGCTTTAGGCCACCTCCTCTTGCTTTATATGGCTTTTTGACATAAACAAGTCATTAACATCCACTTGACAAATAACCTAAATGCACAACATTTTTTAATGGCCAAGAAGAACATGATTGGCTTATCTAGAAAGCCACTCACAAATTTAAAACCTGGGAGACACCTGCAGTCAGTGTAGATCAAATTTACACGTTTTAGATGACAAGTTTCCAGAGGAAGAAGCCACATTGATATAATTACCCAAATTACATGACTGTTTCGTTTATATACATGTGTTTAATAAGTCCCTTTAAGCAGGAATATGGTGAAGCCATCCATTATTGTATTTAGCGGCCTCAGCACGAGCGTTTTGGAACTCGCAAGCATCTGGGCATCTGGGAAAGGAAACGGATGCCCAGCCAGGTTCCTCTCTCCTGCTCACAAGAAGCCTGACCGCGGCTTTCAGCTAACACGCGGGAACTGTGAGCCACACTGTCTCCGCGCGTCCCAAGGCGCTGGGTCAGACCCCAAGTGACAATTGACTCACAAGCAGCTTGTAGCCCGAGTGGCTCGTGCAGCCCGGCAACCACTTCCCTTCTTCACCGTCGCTCAGCATAAGGGGGTCGAAGGAGGGACTCCACTATAGTAAATATCACAGTGACAAACTCGGGATGCACACAAGTATCGAGAAAAGCACAAGACAGCGTGGATGGAGGAAGAGGAGATGACTCTATGACTCCCAATGTGTGCATAGAACAATTGTATTAAAAGCAAAAATATGTACCTAAAATATCCAGAGAATGACCTCTGAGCACGCACACGGTCAGAGCAGCGGAGAGCATCTCCTGAAGAGATCTCCTGGGGATGCAGGATGGGAAAGACTTTCCAACCACGTCTCTCTTCTCCTCAGTAGGAGACTGAAATCGGGGTGCAGACGTAAGAAGCCGTCAGCATATTTAATATGCCAGGGCCAGTCTCTAAATGTGAAAGCAAATGTCCAGAAAAATAACAGTCACCTTGGGATACTGAGGCAGCCAAATCTAAGGCGGAAAGCATCAATTTTCTTTGAAGTTCACCAAAAACCTGGTTTTCAAGCAGCCTGACTTCAAAGGCAAATACAGGATTTCTCCTTTAGTCTGGCTGTGGCAGGAAAAAGCGTGTCCTTGGGAGGTCTTCTTTATTTAGTGAAGGAAGCAAAGGTGCTTCTGAATTGGTCACATCAATTACGTATTAGAGAAACAACCCCCTAGGAAGCAGACACTCCGACACTTCTCTGGGCAACTGGAGTCTGTTCCCATCAGATCTTCGCAGGACGCACGCTATCGTCAGCAACAAAATCTGTTATACAAGCGACCACCTGTGCTCTGAGGATGAGGAATGACGATGGGCGGGAAAAATGTCTGCTCTAACTACGAAACCAAGTGATTTGCATCCACACTCGGCAACTTGGAGGTTTCGCGGTCCCTCTAGCTTCTGTCCTGCCGACAACAAATGGCAAGGACCAAGAGAAGCAATGTGGGTCAGTAAGCGCGTCCCGTTGCAGCATATCTTCCACTCTCTACTGACAGAACAGCAGCATCGGGTACTGCATTGTTTTAATACTCCCGTGTGTGTGTGCAGGAATCGGGAGAGGAAAACCGGGGAGCAGCCGCTGTGCAGGAAGCCTTTGTCAACCATGCAAATCCGAAGGCATCCAGGAGGCTCGCCCCGTGTGTGTTAACGGGTGTTTGCAACGGCAGCTTCGAGCTCCACAAAGCAGGTGAGCTATCATCGTCAGGATGCAATGTTTCTGCTGCTATATTTAATAAAGTGCAAAAAATGTTCCATGCAAAGGACCTACACTATTCTTTAAAGTACTCACATACACATACACACTTTTTTCCCCACCCCCGAACATGAAAGCTCATGATTTCCCAACCTTTCAAAGAATTTTCTCCTCTTCTGGCTAGAGAATCAGTTGTACCATTGTAAGCGTAAATACTGTTTGTTGGAGGAATATAATTAGTGACAATCAATCCCTAGCCTAGAGAATTTAACATGCAAAGACTTGTATTGAGTTTTTTATCTAAAATTCGATATTTCATATGGAATCTTGATTTGACACAGGGGTACATGATGCTAAATCCTTTTTTTAAAAAGTCTTGTTGTTTTAGTATTCTCCTAAAATATATCGAAGTCCCATAGTCTGAAAACTAGTCTTCTATGGTAGGATAATTTAATCTTTTCACCCCATTTTTTCACTGTAAACATGAATAAATACGAAATTGTCATGAAAACTACATTTGAAATTCAGCTTGCGATCATTTTAACTTCAATTTAACATTTTCAGACAAAGCAATATTTGGGATAAATGTGCATTTAACATTACTACAAATTTAATGAAAAAAGCATTTGTTTGCGCAACCTACATCCCTGGGTATACCCGTTCAGAAGATTCCTTTTCCTCAAACGTTATCTGAATCAAACATCGAGTGTGCTTTCTGCACGTGGCATACCCATTGCTGCACGTGGCTTACTGAATTCTGACTTCTCTTTGGCCCCAGAGAAATTATTATCTACACAGCGTCCTCACTGACTTATTTTTAACTCTCTTTGGCTCCGTTCCATTCGAGGTTCGAAGCATAGCTACTACCCCAGGCAAGTAGATTTATAAAACTCTAACGACCAGGTTCCTTTTCAGATCTCACCTAGAGCTTCCAATCTTAGAATAGTTGCATTTGGCATTTTTCCCTGTTTGTTTTTTTTTTTAGTTAACTCTACAAAGCATACATTACAGGATATTTTAAGGGCAGCACCCAAGGCTGCCACCCCGAGTCACCAGGGCACCACTGCACCTGTCTCTGGGGATAGTTAATAGACCTCATGATCACACATGGGTGCAGCTCATCCCCAGAAACCCTGTTCCTTATTTACAGGTGGGAGCAAGCGTGGGCTGTGCAAATACACTTGGCAAAGTCTTACTTCCATTTAACAGGTGTATCTCTATACAAACGGCCACAAAAATTAAATTCAGGTAAAACTTTCATCATGTGTCCGTGATCATATTTTAAAACACATAGCTTACAACATTACCTATTTCCTTAAAATTGAAGAATTAACACATACATTTTTTTCTAAGTAAATTTGCTTCAAAATGTAGATTGCCATGCAATCCTGACCATATTTATCAGTCCTGATTTCTTTATTCTGTGAAGACTTGAACATATCTATGGAACTTTATTAAACTTTCATTTCTGTAGAGGCATAAAACTTGTTGGCATTTTCTTTTGTTTTGGAAATAAAATTTAGAAATAATATTTCCTAGAGATTTCCTAAATGGACCAAAGCACTTTTTTTTAAAACCAAGTGGAATTTAATTAAAATGACATGAATTGTTGGGAACGTAAGAAGTTGCAGCCTTGCTGAGCCCCGCCCTGTGGTTTTGCGTCTGGCCCACGCGTGCGGAAACTCCACAAGCCTGTGCTAACACCCCTCTCACACGTGAGTGCAGTTGGTGGACGGCGGGGTGTCTACTCGACTTCTGTTCTCTTTAGTATCATTAGGAGGCAATACATTGCGAATGTGGCACTTGAACACTTGCTTATAGGCCTTCCTAAAATTCTCAGAGAGAAAAGCGTATATGATGGGGTTCACTGAGGAATTACTGTATGCCAGGCAGTGGGCAGCGATTCTGAAGAGGAAGGAGGCGGGGGTCAGCGGGAAATCCCCAAACCCAGCCCAGAGATTGATGATGTGGTGCGGCAGCCAGGATATCCCAAAAACCACAACCACCACCAGAAGCGTCTGTGCGGTCTAGAAGAAGAGGAAAACAAAGGAAACGTCAATTAGAACAGGAGAATAATCCGGAGCTTGGAACACGCTCTAAGATCGCTTTATGTATATTGCGATGGAATCAGATACTGAATCCGCTTTAAGTGTTGGCCACGACTTCATATCACAGTTTTGTTCCAAACTTGTCCGGGACGTGGAATAACTTCATCACGTATGTGAGACGCATGTGGATTACGGGAAGTGTATTCTGGATCGTGGGAATACAAATGTGCAGAGACTAAACACTGTGACTTTAAAACCACAAAGCTCTGAGCAGGGCACACGCTGAGACAGTGTCCCCTGAGATGCAGCTCAGGTGAGCGCTCGAAACCTCTCCGAACAGTGGCCTCGACGACCGTGTATGTCTTTATTTCTCCTCGTTGATCTCTGCCAAGTGAAAGACCCCAACACACTGATGCATTCCAGAGAGACATCTCAGATTCTGTCGGGGGGCCAACTAGCCCCATTGTTCGGTTTGCATGTAACCCTTCCCTCGCTGCCCCTAAATCGAAAAGAGCTGAAGGCAAAGGCAGGACCCACGTGTTTCCATTGAGATTTGTGCCAAGCAGGGGATGGAAGAAAGCCGTACCTGATTAAGGACCTCAGCACAAGACGAGCCTTCCCTCCAGCTCCCTGTCTGCAGCATGCTTTGTGTGCTTGCCCATCACCTCCTCAGTGGGCTGGGCTTGAGCCTGAGGACCACCTTTCCTGTGTTTCATGGCAGCCCGTTGGGTACATGTTTGAAAAGCAACAACTAGATAGTAATGCTGGGATTGGGTGGAAACTGTCTATGTCTTCAAACAAAAGATGGTGGGCTCTTAATATTTTTTAAACTAAAATACAACACAATCAGCTGGCTCCTTCCTTAAAAGGTGGCTCAGGAACCAAGCAGGGTCCTGACTGCTGATGGCCTCAGCGGCACTGGGGCAGTGGTGGGCGACTGGGAATGTCCTGACTGCTGGCCGTGTGCGGGAAGCAGACCCCATCAGGATCTCGGGTCTGGGGTGAGAACGCTGAGATTTAGAAAGGTCAAGACAGGTGCCTGGTGTTCCAGAGCCGAATGCTAAGTTAGAGTGGGAAGCCCGGTAATGTGATCCCAAACCCATGTTCTGAATGCTCAGACACAGGGAAAGAATAGCTTGCAAAATCTGCCTAGTCACCATCAACCCCATCTCCCACTCTGCGCCCCTCCCCGAGCTCCGGGGAAACCAGAGCATCAGGGCACTTGGGCGGACAATCAAAGCCTCAGAAGACAGCGGTCACCTGGACCTCCAACGGAACCATGCACGGAAATGTCCCCAGCCCCCTGTGCTCGACTGCTCCAGCTCCCAGGTCACCACCGTCAGGGAAGGGGATCTGGAGGATATGAGAGATGCAGGCTCGGAGCCCCTTGCCTGAAGGTTGGAATCTTCTCTCTCAGACTGAGCCCTGGTTGCTAGAGTTTGTGGAGTTGAAACACGGACGTCCAGAGCACCAGTCCCCAGCACCTTTCCCTGACCTCCCTGCCAGAGCTTTCCCTTCTACACAGAGCAAACCCCGGCCGACCGGAATGGACAAATAAGGGGAAGGAGGTTGGGAGGACTGAAGGAGATGGAAGGAAGAAGCTGAAGAGCACGGGGATGCTCATTCTCAGGTCCTCACATGGAGCAAGGGCAGGATGCAGGAGGTGGTTCCATGGCTAGGACATCCCTGGGAACGTACTGCCTCAAGCCCTGCCCTGCGGCCCCCTCCACCGGCCCCGTGAAAATGAGAACCCCGCTGAAGATGCCACACCCCCAGGAGGGCAGGAGTGAGCTGCCCATGCCCACAGGACCAACATTGACAGCAAACCCACACGCAGCACACATCCCTCAGAGACATGGGCTGGAAGGCAGACGCTCCATAACCAGGTGGAGGCAGAGATGCAGGAGGAGGGTGGGATTTCAGGGCAAGGCCAGGACAAATGCATCGGGGGGGCAGGACATGACAGGACTGCTCACCATCACAAGGTGCCATGGATTGTGCAGAAGCCTGGGACTCACGCTAGCCATAACCTGGATGTGCAGCCTTAGAAAAATGACGTAACCTCCCTGGGCCTCGACACCCTGCCCCGGTGAAATGATTCTGACTGTGCCTCATTCATTCAAATGCTTAAAACAACTCAGGTAAAATCCAACAACAGGTTTTTTTATAGGGTGGCAGGATTACATATTAAAACTGCTTACTGCATGACACACAAAGCAAACAAGAAATTTGCTCACATATATTAACAGATTGTCTGCTATCAATCCACTTATCCATTAGTATATGAGAGATTCCATTCCCAGATGATTTAATCAAAAACAATCGAGACATAATTATACCCACAAATAGAACAGAACACATCATCTTTTCTTTCTAAGACAGAGAGGACATCTCTCTACTTCACCAAATGAATACCCTCTGGATATCCCATTTCATTGCATCTTTCAGGAAGTTTCTACTAAGTGCCAAGCTTAGGACAGAAACAGACCCCAGCAGCTTATTGATAAGATCCAGTCCGTGGGGCAAAGGTAATGTGCGTGAATATGGCATATTTTATATGTGTATGTTTGCAGTTCATCCCAAATTTACCTCTCAATTTTTAGTGATTCCCCCGATCTTCTCATAACCATGAACAAGGCTCTTTTCTTGGTCTCCGCATAGCATTGAATATGAGAGGACTACAATTTACAATAGATGTCGGGAAAGAACACTTGCGTCCTTGATCATCATAAAATTTAGAAGGACAAACAAGGTGCTCTGTGATGTTATGACTACCATTTGTGGGTGAAAATGTCTGGCTATATCTCCTCCCTAAACATCTTGTCCAATACTCTTATTCTACTTTCTAAAATCAGAGATTCTATAGGTATCATGTAAGAGTTAGAATGATCCTGATTTGTAACATAGTTTTTCTCAAAATGTGAACCAGGGTTCACATAATAAATACCAGGGTGTTAGATGCCTTAATATGACTCAGGAGAAGCTTGTTTAAATCAGGATTCACGGAACGAGAAAGACAAAAGTGGGTAGAAGTCCCTTTGGGGCCCCTCCCCCATTTCCCCTGAGGACCAGTGTCAGCACAAGTCAAAGAGGAAGAGAGGACAATGCATCCGATTTGGGGGCTTAGGAGAGAGATTAAAGTAACATCTCTGAAAAGACAGTTAAGCCAGAGCCTCCTAGAATCACATCAACAATGATAAATACACAATAAGATGGTTTTGTGCAAATTATGGACGTCAGGAACTCTACCCTCTGTCCCAATCAACCTAGAACACATCTCCTAAAGAGAATCCAAAAAACTACCTGTTTCCTCACCTCTCCAAACCTCCGTCTAAGTTTTCATGCAGCAGCTGGTCACCTGTGATGCCCTCAGAAGCTGACTTTCCATCCCTACCCTGTGCCTCATGGTCAGAGGTCCATTTCAGATATCTGTACCAAAGAACCTAAATGTCACAGGCAGTGGTGGATATAAGGATAATTAGGAATAAAAACGAACTAAGCTCTGAAATGTGACATATAGAATATATATTTGTGAATATTACCTTTTTCTTCGATGCTTCTGACTTCTTCGACATGTTCTTCAATTTTTTATGCAAATGATTCAGGACCTGGAAAACACAGACTAATAAAACTGTTTGCCTCTTGCCCACAGTTCCTTGTCTGATTTGCACTGACAATTCTTGACACTCTGACCTGGTAATCACATTACTTATAAAATCATTCAAATCGAAATGCACATAAGGTGCCAAAGTAATAAGGCATATGAACTGCCAACTGCAACTGTTTAACATTTAGGAGTATCCAGGGACTGTTGTGGTCACAGCATCTATTTGCAGAGAAACTGGGGTGTGTGGTTCTGGAGTTTTGTCCAGAAAATGTCACACTGCTACCCCTTTATGGGTCCTTACTTGTCTACCTTCCACCTCAGTTTCCCCAAGATTCCACATTTTAACAATCACCAGGTCCCTGCTGTAAGTAGGGTGTGATGCCAAATCCTAGAAACGTGGAAAAACCAGAGGTCTCCCTCCAGTGCACTATCCAGTGGGGAAAGCAAGCAAGTGAGCAAATCAAGATGATGTAATCAGAGTTCTCCAGTACAGCCAAAGTTTGCTTCAACTTATTCCTTCTGTTTTCCTGTTGTGGCTCCTCACAGCAAATTCCCACCCACCTGCTTTCCTTGAGTTCTTTATTCTAATTCTACCTACTGTTCCATGAGTTTAGACAACTCACCTTGTGGGGGACTCAGCCTCTCTGGGGATTTATAGACGGTTTAGCAAGGTTTTACGATTAACATCCCTGTCAGAGGATCTCCTGGGAGATACTGGCTCTGTTCATTAGCAAAACTATTTCTGCCTTCTCTTGCCAGTGTAATACTCAGGAGAAATGATGTGAAACATTTGGGTTATATGTACGAATTTACAACATAAGCTCGGTCTTACACAACAGAGCCCACCCTGCAGACTTGTACTGGGGTTCATTTTTATATACCATCTGAGTGAACACCTAAGGAAAAATTAGCCTCTGGATGACTAAGGGCTTTGGGTTGTCTGTAGTTTGCCAAATGAGGCTCTGAGAGAACTAGAAACCGCTTTCCAGACACTTTTTTGTTTCCCTCTAGCACCTCAGCATGGAAATAATGCAATCAATTTGGACTCACTGCAAAAGTCTGCTGCACTCAGCTAGATGCAGGACTTCTGGAGTGATCAATTATACCCTAATTAAGAAACTACAGGATTTATTTACCAACTTCATGAGCTCTAAGCAAGTTAAGCAGACATCACGGGGTGTGAATTTCTGACACCAAATTCTCAGCCCTACCGAACTACTTCTCCCTTCCTACAGTGGCTTAGCATCATCTCCAACAAGACGAGTCTTTCACTTGGTACAGTAACATTTAGGATTGCTTTCAATACATTGACGATAGATTAGTTAACTGTTCTGCCAACAGAAATTAGGGTTCCAGGAACTGAATGTAAGAGAAAACAGAAGAGCTTTTGTAGGATCTTGTCTAGGGAGCACGGGTCATGTGAGTTTCCTTGTTGGCAGCCTCCCCAGCAAGAGACCACAGGAGGACACTGGTCATTGAGGACAAGGGACAAGAAGAGAGAAGAGAGGACAGGCAGCACAACAAAATCAGAAAGGGACATCTGGAGAGGAGGCCAAACAGAAAAGTGAAATATTATCTGCTTCACAATGCTGCCCGAGGGTCTATTCACTCCTTCAACAAACTCATTGCATCACATCTCAGGGACTTCAAGCCACGTGTGGAATGTTGAGTGGTCAACAGAGAAAATACCCACATATAGGGGCACCTGGGTGGCTCAGTCATTAAGCGTCTGCCTTCGGCTCAGGTCATGATCCCAGGGTCCTGGGATCGAGCCCTGAATCGGGCTCCCTGCTCCTCGGGAAGCCTGCTTCTCCCTCTCCCACTCCCCCTGCTTGTGTTCCTGCTCTTGCTATCTCTGTCTCTGTCAAATAAATAAATAAAATCTTTTAAAAAAAAGAAAAGAAAATACCCACGTATAGTTTTCTTCACTGTTTCCCTTCAATAGCCCAAACTACGAGCACACATTGATATATTATAATGCATATATTGATATATATTTGATGAGATCTTGCCATCAAAGGTATCATGATGGGTTGTAACTGCATTTCTGTGAAGGATGATGATGGCATGATGGTGTCACTCTCTGGTTCTACACACTTAGCTGTGTGTGGGAGGCATACACTCAAACCTGAGCCAAGGTCACCTTGGGCATCAGATGTCTCTGGGGATGTGCGAGAATTTGGCAGGTGGGCACATGAAGAGTTTACCCTCATGTCAGATAGTGGATGGTCCCAAACAAGAAGTCCCTCCAGGGAAAGAGAGCAAGGGGCCAGCCCCGTGCAAAAAGGAGCACGACAAGCACACACCACCCCGGGCATTCTGCGTGTTTCTCAGGGCCGGTCAGGCACAAACTTTCTACACGAAGTCATAAGGTTTGGGGAGTAGAAGGCAGCACTCGAATGCAATTCCCTTGTTGAGGTAAAAAAAAATGGAATCTCAGATGACTTTTCAGCCATTTGTGATTTTTCATCGTGGCCATCAGTCCTGGGCTTGGAGAAAGAGCTAGTCCTGGACCTAACATTCAAGAAGAATCGTTAGCTGGACAGTGTTCCTTAATGATGGAGGCAAAGAAAAGCAGCTGGAAAGAAACACCTAAGCTATTCTTCAAGCCCTAGATTGAATCTGAAAATATTAGCTTGAATGTAAAAGAAATTTCCAGTTATGCTTAAAAGCAAACTATTTCCATGTAAAAAGTATCCCAATGAGCATGCATTTGTTGAATTTTTTTAAACTATTTTGAAACTTTGCCCTATGTGTGAATTTCATAAATTCTCAGATGACAGAAATGTAGCCTAATTTTTTCTAAAATTTTGCCTTGTCATTTCCTTCGAGAACACCTGGAGACTTTTGGGAAGTGAAAGAACAGTATATTTCAGCTCTGCTTCAGGTGATTATGAATTCACCACCAAATATTTTGAGAACACTTGGAGTCCTGAGCTTCATGCTCCTAAGGCCCTCCCTTGGTGACTGGAAACTGCCTTAAAACGCTTCCTGAACCATCTACCAGCTTCATAATCTGGGTCAGTTGCTTTGCTCTTCCCAAACCCTTTCCTGGATGCTCCTGCCCACAGTTCTTGTGCAGACTGAGCAAGACAGTTGCTGAGGTTGAGCACTGCACTGGTAGAACCACGTTTTGTTTTGTTTTTTCTTTTGCATTTGAAGAAGGCTAAGTGAATAAACCAGCCATTTTGCAAAGAGCTAAACTACAGCTATCTTCCAAATGTCCTATCTTGCCCTATCTCTTCCATGTATCTTTATGTATAACCCTTTGATGCAGGCCATTCTTTCAGATAATATCCAAAACTATTACCATTCAAACAGACACAACTCTACATAGATGATATGGGGCAGGGGAAAACAGAAACCAGGGGGCTTATAGTAAACACTTTTGCTGGGAAAAATATGAATTGAATGTAAGTAAGTATTGCTCTCTGTAATCTGGTTACTCATGGCCCTAGAGTCATGGCCTTATCAGAAACAGAAGGAGAGACAGAGAAAGACGAAAATAAAATGCTGGGAATTTCAAAAGTTGGCAGCAGAGATGTTTTCCTCATGGTGATGATACTCCCAGAATACGTTGGGGAGCTGGGCTTTACCCCCAGGAATCACTGTCACGTGATTAAGCATATATTCTTACTCAAGCACAAACAAGTGTATCCAGAAAGTTGAAGACTGATCAGTATAACAGCTTCAAAACCCACCTTATTAATGAGAGAGGATGTGAGTTTGCTGAGCTCTGCCAAGATATGTGAAGGGAGGATGGGAGCAATTTTCCTGGTAAGGAGGGAGGGGTAGGTAGCTGGGCCAGAAGTGACAATAATGCAACTCTTGATGAGAGTTAGGGATTTAGGCCTGAATCACTTCATGTTGTCTACACAACCATTCTAAACAGAATTGAAACCCATCCATCCAAAGTTCTCTGGAGACTCAGGTCAAGATACTGTGAAGAAATATTCTTTTAGCACTGGGGTTTATCAAGCTTAAGCTTCCGGTAAAATACAGCTCAAAGTGCCTTCACCAGGAGCACAGGCTTCAAGGAGCAGGAAGGGGACCGGGGCGACCAGCCAGGCGCCCCAGGCAAGGGCAGGGGAGGGGGCAAGGGGCGGTGCGCTCTGGCTTACCGTGCTCCCTGCAGCTCTGCAGTCCTGCAGTCTGAGCCCCAGATTGGATCCGCGGTGCTGGGTGTGGGTGGCTAAAACTGAGGGCAATTCGGCTGCCAAGGGGACAAACTCAGGGTCCAGGGCTGTGGTGGTGGGAGGCCGAGGGGTGGCAGGACCTCTGGGAAGTGACCTGCAAGCTTTCCCCAGTGGCTCCCAGACTCCAAGTAACTTTCCCGCGCACCCTCTCACACACCATCCACCAGGGGAGAGAAAGGGCTGTGGGGAAGGTTCTCAACCCAAGCTGCCCAGAAAACTGGAGCCGGTGAGGGCAAAGGGGCTCCGAGGGGGGCGCGGGGACACAGGAGCTACCCCGAGGCCCCGAGCCCGCCGCCCGCCTGAGCCCCCGCCCCTGCCCGCGCCCCGGGCGCCCACCTTGGCATAGCAGAAGCAAATGAGCAGAAGCGGCAGCAGGTAGCCAAAGACGAAGGTGCACACCACATAGGCCTTCTTGTGGCCCTGGTTGGGCCACTGCTCCCAGCAGAAGGTCTGATTGCTGACTTCCAAGTGGAAGAGGCTGTAGTGGTAGGCCACGGGCGAGGCCATGGCGATGGACAGCGCCCAGATGAAGCCCAGGCCCAGCAGCGTATTGCGGGACACCCGCAGGGAGGAGGAGCGCCTCAAGTGCACGATGGCCACGTAGCGGTCCACCGACATCGCGGCCAGGGTGAAGATGCTGACCAGCATGGAGACAGTGAAGAAGTAGTGGGTGAACCTGCAGATGAAGGCGCCCAGCACCCAGGTGGGCAGCGCGTACACCGTGGCCTGGAAGGGGATGCAGAAGAGCAGGTAGGCCAGGTCGGCGATGCTCAGGTTGAGGATGAACAGGTTGGTGGTGCTGCGCGGCTTGCCCGGCTTGCTGCGCGCCAGCACGGTGATCACCAGGCTGTTGCCCAGCACGCCGAACGCGAAGATCAGGCCGAAGAGCACCAGAGTGATGAAGTTCTCAACGTCGATGCCATGGAGCGGTCTGGGCTCCGGGGCGGGGGGCTTGGGCCCGCTAGCGTTCCCCTCGCTGAGGTTCCCGGCTGCCAGCTCCATGGCCCGCGGGCGCCCGGACGCGCTGGCGGGGGTGCCCTGCTGAGGAAGAAAGCTCGGAGGAGCCAGGGGTCCCGACCCCGAGCACGCAGAGGGCGAGTTTCCGATCCTGAAGCCCCGCGATGGGCACGCACCCTGAGGCTGAGCCTACTGGCACCGTCTTTGTGCGAGGCCGCCTGCGAGGAGCCCAGATCGGGACCTTCCCGGGAACGCGCGGCGGTCCCGAGAGCGCGGGCTTCCCTCTGCGCGGCCGCCCAGACCCGGGAGGAGGGACCCGCCAGTGCGGCTGCAGGGGTGGAGAGCCCCTCTGCGCCTTACCGGTTCCTGGTCCCTGCTGGCCGGTTCCCTCGTTCCGGGAGTGGCTTCGGGCGGCACCTGTTGCTCTGAGCCGCTCCCTCCCCGCGTCGCTCCCCCCCGGACAGCCGGTGAGCGGCAGCGCACGCCGCAGTTCGTGGAGAGGGCTGCCCGCGCCTCCTCTCCCCTCCCAGCTTTTGCAGGGGTTCCAAGTGATCTACCGGGTGAGCGCCTTCTGGCCGCTTTCCCGAGGCTCTCAGAGGGGGTGCGCGGGGCCTCTGCTGCAGCTGAGACGTAGAAAACACAGCGGGCTGAAATCCGCGCCCCTGGGGCCTCTCCAGTCCCCCGGAAGTCACAGCGCGCGCAGAGACTGCAGGAGTCCTAAAGGGATGGGGCGCCGCCCACCTCCTCGCAGGAATCGGGCGCGCTCGCTCGCCTCTGCAGGGTGCGGACCTGCGTGGGTCCAGCGAGGGCGGCCGCTGCCGGGTGCAGCAGGGCCCGGGCGGCGGAGCAGAGCCGAGCGCGCTCCAGCGCGCGGGGCGCAGGCGGTGGGCTGCGCAGTCTCCGCACCCGCTAGCGCCGCTCGTCTTTCTTGGCTCCTGCGGTGGCTGTCCCTGAGAGCGCTCCCTGCCCCAGGAATTAACCCCCCCCCCAGAGATCAGCGACTGGCACTGCAGCCTGGAGTTTTGTAAAATCCCTGATCCCACCCCCACCCTTCCCACCGCTAGGGAGGAAACAAGCAGGAAAAAACATGAATGGCCTGTTGGAGTTTTCATTGGAAACGTCTAAAATATTAAAGGTGTGTTCACATCATCCAACTTTAGATCAGTTTGGCTTTGTGTTTCTCACCTGAGCGACATAAACAGAAGTACTGACATGACATATTTGTGAGGTGGAAAAAAACATGTTTACACCAAGAAATTGAGCTGAGGATAGCTGTGAGTATCATCCCCGTGTGTAATCTTGCTAGTTCCCAACTAGAGAGCTGAAATGGATTCATTTCTTTGCAGCGTTGATATGATATGTCTCTATTCACTTCCAAGATCACGGTGTGTTTCCAGCCCTCTCCAAATGATGATTGAGGGTCTAGTATGTGGCAGACACAGTCAGGTCGCAGAAGGTTGAGCGAGGTGGGGTGCGCCCTATGGGTATGGCACGGCGATTACTTGGAGAACAGGCCAAGTGCAGGCACAAGGCTGAGCCTTGGGGAGTGGGGGAAGCAGGTGGTGGGGAATCCTGCTCTCTTTCTGCCTCACCTGTCCCCTCTGCCTCGTTTATAGGAAGAGGTTGAGGCAGTTCACTGAGCATCCACCGCAGAGCAAGTACTTCACCTGCACTCATTGTTTCTTCTAATATCCACACACGTTTCCCAGAGGACGAAGTTGAGTTTAAGTAACTTATGTAGCAGAGTATCTTGCTAAATCAAGAAGGCTCTTACCTTCCCTGGAAGGTGCCTCCAAAACTTGTCCATCAGTTGCTTTCCTCCCCAAGGGGTTCTCTGACCTACACGTTGATGGGATCCTGCATTGGGCAGCTCCATTATATTGGAAGTCATTTGTAATCAAATTTGGGAAAGGAATGTTCTTAATTATTATGAACTATTTTCAACATGAAACAAATAAGATGAAATTATAGTGAATACCCATGGTGCCCACCATCCAGGTTAGAATAATAATAATAATAATAAAAATCGGGCGCCTGGGTGGCTCAGTTGGTTAGGCGACTGCCTTTGGCTCAGGTCATGATCCTGGAGTCCCGGGATCAAGTCCCGCATCAGGCTCCCTGCTCGGCAGGGAGTCTGCTTCTCCCTCTGACCCTCCTCCCTCTCATGCTCTCTGTCTCTCATTCTCTCTCAAATAAATAAATAAAATCTTTAAAAAAAATCATCAATAGAGTTGGAACAGCTTTTATCTACTTTGCAAATCACAACCTCCACCCCCCCCCCATCTCCAGGTAACCTATGTCTTGTCTGTTAGTCATTTCTTTACATATTTATGGCATATGCATAGGTTCTCACATAATATACTATGAATTTTTAGTTTATTTTAACGTTATATGGTTGGTATGATAGTACTGATTTTTCCCTTAAGGTGTAAATTGCCTGATATTGCTCTAGATACACCAACAGTCTTTGCTACTTATTGGTCTGCTATATTTTTTGCAATCTTCCCGTGTCCTGTGATTTAGGGGGTATCTCTTAGAAATAGCACATAACTGAAATATTTAAAAACCCAATTTGGCAATCCCTATTTTTTAACTAGTGAGTTTAGTCTGTTTACTTCTTTTTGTTATTACTGATCTATGTGGTCTTATTTTTTTGTTTTCTGTCTCCATGCTTCTGCTTCTCCCCCATGTTTTAACATCTTTTGGATTGCATTTTAACCTGTCTTTTTTTCCCATCTTAAAATGGGAGGGAAGGAATATGATCCATTTTTATTATTTTGCTGGTTACCCTTGAGTGCCTGCTACCTGCCAGGAACTATTTTAAGTTCTGGAGTTAGAGCAATGAACAAAGTCAAGCCCCTTCTTTTATGGATTTTATGTCTTATTATGGAGACAGGACATTAAAAAAGAAACAAAACCATAATATGCCATATGGTAAACACTCTAAAGGAGAAGAAAACAGGACAAATGAAAGAGAGTGATAGGAGGGTGGTATCATACAGAGGAATCAGGAAATATGTCTTCAAGAAGCTGACATATTGGCGGGAACTGGGAGGAAGTAAAGCAGAAAGCCTGTGTCTCAGGCAGTGCAGGACGCTATAACAAAATTCTCTAGACCAGGTGACTTACAAAGCGCAGACATTTATCTCAGCTGGGGAAGCTGCAGTCCGAACAGAGCAAGCTGCCTGCAGATTTGGGGTCTGGTCAGGGCCTGCCTTCTGGGTCACAGCCAGCACCTTCTCGCTGTGCCCTCAGGGCAGAAGGGGCACCGGGGCTCTGGCTCTGCGGGGCCTCTTACAAGGGCCCTCATCCCATTCACGGGGCTCCATCCTCATGGACTAATCACCTCCCAAAGGGCCCACCTCCATCTGCCATCACATTGGGGGTTAGGTTTCAGTATGCGAGTTTTGGGGGGACACGTGGGCAGAGCCATAGAATGAGTTATGTCCAGTTACATCCAGTTAAGTAGGAAAGGAAGAGACGTGCCATGTCCAGGCCAGCACAGGGAGAAGCCCACGCACGGTGTCCACGTTCTCTCCCCCCACCTGTGATGGCAGAGGATGGCCTGCTGCCTGGGGCCAGCCCAGAGGGAAGCCGGCTAGATCCCGAGTCACAGATGGGAAGAGTCACCCTTTAGGGAACTGAAGTATCGCCCCTTCCCGCGTCGAGTCCCTGTAGTTATTGGAATTGGTTTCTTCTATTACTGAGACCTCATTGACATGTAACGTTATGTTCGTCTCAGGTGTACGACACAATTTCCTGTTTCATTGAAAGCTTATTTATAGGCTCAAGTTGCTTAAAAAACAAAACAAAACAAAACACTAGTAAGGCTTTTCAATGTAGAGTCCATGATACTGATAGAAAATAATGTCTGAAAACTGATTTTTGAAAGTGAACTTTAGGGGCGCCTGGGTGGCTCAGTGGTTAAGCATCTGCCTTCGGCTCAGGTCATGATCCCAGGGTCCTGGGATCGAGCCCCGCATTGGGCTCCCTGCTTGGCGGGAAGCCTGCTTCTCCCTCTCCCACGCCCCCTGCTTGTGTTCCCTCTCTCGCTGTGTCTCTCTCTGTCAAATAAATAAATAAAATCTTTTAAAAAAAAAAGTGAACTTTAATGCTATATGTATAATAAATATATCAGGGGAGAGAAAACTAGAAAAATGCCCCTGAGGAAAGACAGTGAAAAGTTTCATGGGAACGTGAAGAAACAAACAAGCAAAAGTTCCCATATCCACATACGTGCTATTATATGTTCCTCTGTGACAGGGGAATGTCTAGAATTGAATATGTATTTTCATGAGTTTTCACTGTTTATCTTATGTAATCAAGGGCCACCCTGAAAAATATACTGGGGTTAGATTTATGGGCAATGGGCAGAATGATCACTCGGGTTTGCACAGCAGGACATGAAGGAAGTGTGCGCACTTGGCTCTCGGTTCTGTAGAAGGCAGGGGGATTATCCTCCCAGTGGGAGCTCCATCTGCCCTCCCTGCTTGCAAACCTCCACTCTGGGTTCCTACCAGCCGCCAGCCAGGCACGCGCCCCCGTCACCTCTAACTCCTCGCTCCCCAGCATCCTGGCCCTGCCGCTGGTGGGCGGCTCCAGCCCCGTTAGCTGCTTTCCTGTGACACACCGTGTTTCTCCGTAATTGTGCGCCTTTGTCCATCTGTCTGAATATCATTTCTCCTTTTGTTCCCCGGGGGAAATTCTCGCTCATTGTTCACGCCCTGGCTACCGTGCTCCCTCGTCTCTGGAGTCTTTTTGGCCTTCTTCCTTAGGGCAGGTCACCCCTCTTGCTAGAATCACAGAAACCCTGCCATTTAGCGCTCTCAAATCACTCAGGCAACACGTAGTAATTTTGTGTGTTGAGGGCTTGCGTTTCCCAGGCTGAAAACCCCAGAGTCTCCTCTGGGTAAATATTCAGGTCAGTTCCAGATGATTCCCTCTCCCCTCCATGGAGTGACTCTCAGCTTCTGGAAGTTTCCAGTATCAGCTCCACATCCTGCTCCCTCTGCTGAGAGGCAAATATTGTCCCCTGTGGCCACTGTGGAAACCTCTGGAACCACAGTCACTGCCCTCCTGTGCCCTGGGCACCCTTTCTGCTCACACCATGAGCGTCCTCAAGACAGCTTCTGTCTGGGAGGCTGGGAGCCGGCCAGGGAAA